AAAACATTAGTTAAAAATACATCCCCACCAGAACTGTGCAATGGGAATGGAACTCACTTAAAAAAAATACATATTAACATAATATTGAAAGGAAATAAATAACTGAAAATAAAAGTAGTTCTTATCTAAAATTTTATCTAAACACGGATTTCAACCAAAGACAATTCCTTAAATTTATCGAAATTCCTTTCAAGAGGGAAGATAGTCAGGAGTTCAGTTTGCGTAGCTCCTTCAAGAATTGTTGGGAGCTCCAGACTCTTCGACGGTTCATCCTCGTAAGTAGCTCCAACGGACAATTGAAACAAACTCTCCTCAACCTTATCGATCAGATTTTCCTCCTCTAACTCAAATATGATTACCCCCGACAGATGAAAAAAAGTGTAGTATAATGGTGGGATACTCATGATAATTTGTTTTCCATCATTTTCTTCCTTCTTGCAAGTTTGCATCTCCCTTTTATCTTTAGCGATCAGTTAAAACCCTAACCCCAAATGTGTCTTTTTGCACCGAAAGCTCTATTGGTTCCAAGATTCCTTGTAGACTTCGCCCAAGACCTTTGTCTATCTCATATTTTCCTCAGATCATCTCTTTAGCCATCATAACACTAGCTTTTGATAGATTTGACTATTCGAATAGCTTCTCTTTAGATATCCACCATATTGAAGCAATATTAATCACATGATGAAGAGAAACTAAAGTTTTTCTACTACTCTTCCCTTTCAAGTTAGAATTAACAATCATGGTACAGTCATCTTCAGCGAACATAGTGATCAGCTAGTCATTCACAACAAATCTCAATATCTAATGGAGAGAGGATGGCACTGAGTTAGAGGTGTAAATCCAAGGTCATCCAAGTAAGAGATTGTATATACTTGAAAAGTCAATAACTTGGCAAGTGATTTGAAATCGAGTAGATCCTATCTCTAGCACTAAGTCAACCTTACTCATAGATTCCCTCTGTACCATCAAATCCTCTTATAACAATTGTTTATGGACGGAATCTAGCATCAAGAAATCCCAACTTTGTAAAAGTATTTCACAGGCAGACCTTGGGTAGTAAATTTCCAATAAAACGTACTAATATATACAAATGTCTGTTATGTCCGATCCTTTTCGGAGTCAAATCGTTATCAAAAAAAGCAATATGATTAGAGGCTAGAACATTTTCAATAACATGAGAGAACTTCTTGACAGAAATGCTTTTAGATACTTGTGCTTCACTCAAGATCTTAAGCAATACCTCTCTATGTGGTTTGAAACTCAAAAGCAGATCCAAAATAGAGATTTGACCGGGTATTTTATCCAACTGTTTTATAATTTTGTACTCACTCCTCTTAGCAGTTTCAAGGAATCCATTGCCTCTTTTTTAGTCACAGGCGCTTTTGGCGATGGGATACCCTTTTTGGTCCTTGGTTGAGTATATATTTAAGAATCACCCACAACTCTTCTATATCTGATAACGGCAGTCATCTCTTTTTCCGGTACCTCCTTATTTCCAATCATTACGGTGGGCTTACTATAGTTTCACGACACTTCTTGTAAATTATGAACAGGTGGTTATTCTAGAAACTCAAGTACAACAGGCTCAAAAGGCAGCAAGTCTATGATGAAAGGTTCTCCAATATCCCCAACTTTAGAGGGTTCCTCTTCTAGCACGAACTGTTTCTCAGTTATCCCAACTATCTCAATCTTATCCACAACATATTGAGCAGGTTTCTCATCAATAGTGATGGTTCTAATAGTACCTTTATGCTCAGGGAAGAGGATTTTTACTGACGTTTAGCCCTTGTTCATTGCTTTTTTTCAAAACTATAACTCCAGCATCAATTATGTCTTGAATTTTATGTTTCAATACCCATCAATTGGCAATTGAGTGATCGAAACTCCCAAAATGATAGATGCAAATAGCCTGAGAAATCTCTAAGTTAGATCTTGGGAGGTACAACTCCAATCTTACCAACAGTCTTCACCTGTTAGTACCGTTGATCAATGGGTCGGCCTAAATTAGTGAAGGTTTAGAATTGATTTTGAATTTGATATCCATTGATTTGGAATTAATTTTGGGTTGGGTTATTTTTCGGGAGGGAGAGGGAAGGGGGCTGGGATAGGTCTTGGATTGTAGATAGGGTGAGAATGACTTTGTAAGGCATATTAAGAAATTTATAACGGTACGGGTGTATTCATGTAGTTTGGTCGAGAACGAGAAGGTTGATAGTAATATGATAAATAGGTCTAGAGTTTGAGTAGTGTGAATAAGGAGATGAGTATGTAGAGTGGTTTTAAAATTTTGATATAAAAAGGGGCTTTGATCCCACACAAAAGCGGTTTCTCATCCAACTGCACTTTTAAAACCAACAGATTAATAATCTTCTCTATTTTCACAAACTCATAATATTCTTTAAGTTTGTTGACGATAATCGCAAATGAACTTCCAGTCATGCAAAAGATCTTTTTGAAATATGGCGGATTATGGATTTTAATAAATGTGCGTACAATCTCCTTCAACCATGAGGGGCTCCACCTTAGCAGCCAATTTCCTCCATCATTTTACATATATCTTGTGATCTTTTGAGGATTTTCTCTTGATTCTTTCGATTGTTCTTTGCGTAGGTGTAAACTTGTAGTTATACTCATACTGCCTCACAAAAGCTATAGACAGGTCCAACAAAGTTTTCATTTCTTCAAGTTTCAAATTAGAATACCAATCCAGAATATCACCTTCTAAACTTTTAGGAAATAATCACACTGGCAAGTTTTCATCATCCATGGGTTTGTCAAGTTTGTTAGCAAACATTTTAAGATGTATCTTGAGATTTCCAGTTCCATCATATTTACTAAATTTTGGAGTTTTAAAACCCAAAAAATTTGCACGTCAGAAAAGAGACACAACTCATCATAATCCAAGCCTCCATGCTTGCTCAATCCTTGATTTTTATTCATGAACTCACCAAATCGTTTTAATCTCTTTAGCAAATTTTTGTCAATAGGGGTAATGTGCTCATTCATTCCTGTCTTCCCTTGAAAGGTAGTGTCCAACATGAACAATTCTGTGGTGGGGGTTGAGGTTCTTGAGAATTAACTGGAATATTTGGATTGATCTATGGGTAATTTTAAAAAATTTGGATATTAGTTGGATTAAGCAAGATATTGCTTGGATGCGTATGTGGGAAACTAGAATTAAAATAGGTGAAGGCATCCTCTTAGGGATTTGTAAAAAGTGAAACGAATGTGGTTTGAATAGTGCATATGTGAGTTGGTTGATTATCTATAAGGATCGAAGACAACCTAAGAGGGGGGTGAATTAGGTGGTTTAAAAAACTAGCCAAGATATAAGTCACTTTTTGAGAACTTGCCCTCTTTTTTTAAAGGACCACACAATGGAGCAATTGATGAGAAAGTACAAGTGCTTAGGAGTAGAAGAGATAGACAATTTATATTGCAAGACAGTAAGTAAAAGAATAGAACAGCAAACCAAGTTTCAAACTCCACTTGAGTTTGAAAATCACTTTATATAGCAAGTTTCTTCAAGTTGATCAACTTACAACCAATCTCTTGTGCACAAAGGAAGGATCACTTCCTCCTCGCCCCAAGCCACACTTGGTCAAGTAAGGAAGTTTTACTATCACTCGGATAACCCTCACAAAGCTACGCTATTGAAGAAATAGAAATACACTTGAAAAGCTTATCGAAAGTTACACAACTAAGAGTACAAATCTTCTTTAAAGAGTATTCTTACACTTGAATCACTCAAAATCTGATGTGTAGTCTCAATGTGCAAAAGTTATCTGAAGTGGTTGACTTTTTTCTTTTTATAAGAGACTAAAAAATTTTTCAATTAATGCTACCAACGGATAGAAGGCAGTTGAAGAGTCAACTAGCCGTTAGTCGTATCGGACGTCCGGTAGGTTAGTTATCTGCATCCGAACATAGGCAATGAGTTCAAGAAATTTTCTTGAAATATTGAGGACCTCCGGTACCTCCAGAATATGCATCTGAAGGAATGATGTAAAACTGAAAATTTTTCTTCAATTCTTTCGGACGTCCTGTGCCTCCAATGTTTTGCGTCTGAAGTATCGCAACGTTTGTCGGACGTCCGATACTCAGGTGTTGTATGTCCGATCGAGGTCAATAAGCTTAGAGGACTTGGCTTATCATTTTTGGACATCTGAGGGTGGGTTCTTCATGCGTCTGAAGATACTCAATGGTTGTCAGACGGCCGATGCAGTTTTTTTGTGCGTCCGACAACTATTTCAGCATATATTAGCCTTTGAACCTATTTTGCTCCAATTCCGAAAAGGTCTAATCAGAGAATATTAGTAACATCCATTTATTTTGTAATCATCAAATGTTATGGACTGAGATAAACAATCTCCCTCTTTTTGATGATGACAAAACAATAGATGGAGTAAAAAGGTTTTAGGTACAGCTCCCCCTTACTTAATGCGTCCAAGGACCCTTACTTAATGCATCCAAAAAGTATTCACAACTCCCCCTCAGATAATGTCCATTCCCCCTTAAAATGACTCCCTCTCACATATACATATCCATATCTCATCCTTTTTGTCATCATTGAATCAACCAGTAAAATTATCCATATTACCAATAATGTGGTCATCATTTTACATCATTGGCTTCACCAATATTATCACCAGGTATTATCAGCAAGAAAAAACACAGCAACACCATCCAAACCGAATTTAGTAAAACAATAAAGCAAAACACAGTAGAATAGTAACATCATCCATCCAAAACCAAAACCAAAACAACATCAACCAGAAACAAATATTGGCAGATAAACTGAAATAAGTAACATCCATCCAAAACAAGGAAAAATTCCACAGAAGCAACATTTAACATAAAAGATAACTAAATAGTTTTACAAACCAGTAGAGGAGTAAAATTCTTAAGACAGAACACACCAAATATCTTTAAGTGCAAAAGATGCAAAAATCTACTATGAACTATTATCCTAATCATGAAGTGCAGTAGCCTAGTAGTGCCTATATGGTGATCTTGGATGATCCAGGCCTTCTCCTAACCAGACGAAACTGCTCAAGATCCACTTGATCTTCCTCTTCAGTTTCTTCATCATATTCTTTAGTTGTTTCTTCAGTAATTGGAGCCTTTTCTTTATCTTTGGGCTGAGAACTGGAAGCATACGCCTCTGGAGTAGCTTCAGTGCCAGGAGTAGGCTTAGTTTGCTCGGTTCTTGGCTCTTTTTTTTGAACATTTCCATTGTCTACAGGAGTGGGAAGCACAAGAAGATTCCTTTTCTCAATGAAGGTAGCCTATCGGTCGGGTAACATGGTCATCATTAGATCATCTTCAATGAGTAGAATATGTTGTTTAAGATTCTCAAGCAAAGAGATGACCTCAAAGTTGGATGAGAAAGATTTGTTGGCTAACTTTCTAAGGTGAATGGTAAAAGGTGAGACATACATGGACTGATCACGAGAGGTCCTAGGAGTAACAGGAGTTTCATGAAAGTTCTTTCTCCTAGACTCTGAACAGTTTCCTTGTAACACTAATGGCCCTCAAAAAATTTCAAATTTTTCCTTTCAAAATATGCCTTTGAGAAAACTGATGATGCATTATCTTTACGTGACTTCCCAGTGAAGGGAATTTCAAAGTGAGCAAAGATAGGGGTCAGAAATTTTTCATAAAAAAGCTTCCTACGACTATCAGAACTAATTTTGAGCAAAAAGTTGCACATTACAAAACCAAAATCAATTCTGATTTTTTCAACAAAACAGTAAAACAGATAAAGTTTCATTTTGTTTGCATCAGTGGACACCAACAAATTTGAAATAATGGTAAAAATGATCAAATTTTGAGGACTGAGATCCTTCAATCTCATCTTAGCAGGAGTATTAAAATGAGTGTGAAAGTAAGTGATCAGTTTAGTAAAGTGAAAGTGATGGTAAGCAGTAGAAAATTCTTCATATGAGAAGAAATTTACAATTTTTTCTTTATAACTATCTTCAATTTTGATTTTCAAGACAGAATTGACAACATCAGGAGTTAATATGATATCAACAGAGTTGACTCTAGAGATAAGTTCCGTGTATGAATTACCCTTCCTAAGATTTGCAAAAAATTGATGAAGCATATCAGGGTAAAAAGTATTGGGAATGGTCAGAAGATGAATCTATTTTTGAAATTCAAAAAATTTAATAACTGGTTCGAGATCAAGCTTACGAAATTCGTAAGGAATGATAGACCTCTGAGTGATGAATCTTTTTTATGTGATCAACTCGAACCGATCTCTGGCCTCGGCATCTATAAACTTTGGCAATGGGGTAGGTTCCCTAGCAGGTTGAGCCTCTGGTTCCTTTGAAGAACATTTCCTCTTTGCACTTCGTTTAGCAGTTGACCCATTATCCTGAACACCAGACCTTGTCCTTGGTGACTTTCTGGTAGAGGGTTGAGGAGTTTGCTAATCTTCAGCATTTTGTTCTTCGGTTTGATGCTCGTCCATCTGCTCAGGGGATGGATCAACAGTTGGAGCATCCTGTTTCTTCTTTGCAGGTTGCTTTACCTTTCCACCACGAGTTCCAGTTCTCTTTTTAGATGCTCTAGTGGAGGGTTCTACAATTTCAACCTCCTCATCTCTAAGTCTGAAAGTGCGTCCGGCACCCGCAGAACCACCTCTAACTTTCACCATGACATAATGCAGTTGATTTTTGTAGTAGAGTGTAGTGTAGATGTGTATTAGATTGACTAATAATGCAATATGAACTACAATTGATGTTTGAATCGAGCACAAGGAGTGGATTTTAAGAAGTTAGGGTTTCGGGTGTGAATTGAAATTTTTGGGGCAGTTGGGAGTTAGGAGACGTTGTGAGGGATAGTAAACGGACAATAGGAATGTAATGGTGTCGGTTGGATCAATTTCTTGAAACTTGATTGGAAGAGAGAGTATTTTGAATTTTGAATTTGAGAGAGAAATGAAAGGTTGCGTCCGAGACTAAGAATGTAAATGAACTGAATGAAGTAAATGACTTCTTTATAAGACGCAACATTTGAGTGTCGGACGGCCGAACGAAGTGAAGCGTCAGACACAACCGTCCGAACCAAAACTTTTCTAAAAAATGATGAAAAACATTGTCGGACGTCCGTTCTAACTCATCGGACGTCTAATAAAGAGTGACAGAAAATTTTTAGAATACTTTTTTTGAGACGCCCAGTTTTGTTCTTAGATACACAAATTGATCCAATGGTAGGAATTTTGTGAGAATATCAACAATTTGATCTTTAGAACAAACATATTGAACGCAAATTTCACCCTTATTAACAAGATCGCGAAAGAAATGATACTTTATGTCTATGTGTTTAGTCCTAGAATGTTGTATGGGATTTTTTGTCAAATTGATGGCACTAGTGTTATCACAATACATAGGTACATAATCATACACTAATCCAAAATCATTCAATGTGTTTTTCATCCATAATAATTGAGTACAACAAGTTCCAGCGACAACATATTCCGCTTTAGCTGTAGATAATGAAATAGTATTTTGTTTCTTACTAAATCAGGATACTAAGCAATTTCTAAGAAAGTTACATATACCTGTTGTACTTTTTCTATCAACTCTACAACCTTCGAAATCAGCATCAGAGAATCCACACAAAGGAAGTTCATGACACTTAGGATACCATATGCCAAAATTCAAGGTTCCTTTTAGATATCTAAGAATTCTTTTTACTACATTTAAATGAGATTCATTGGACAAAACTGAAAACGAGCACATAAGCACACAACAAATATGATATCAGGTCTACTAGCAGTTAAGTAAAGCAAACTACTAATCATATATCTATACTTCTTTTTATCAACTTTTGTACCTTTTTCATCATTGTCAAACTTGGTAGGTGTGCACATAGGTGTTCTGACCTGCTTTGAATCCTCCATTCCAAATCTTTTGAGCAGCTCCTTGATGTATTTTGTTTGATTGATGAACGTTCCTTCTCGGGTTTGTACCACTTGGAGTCCAAGGAAGAAATTTAATTCTCCCATCATGCTCATTTCAAACTCTTTTTGCATGATATTAGAAAAATCCTTGCACATGCTCTCATTAGTAGCACCAAATATAATATCATCCACATATATTTGCACAATTTAAAAATCACGTGAACCTTGCTTAGTGAAAAGAGTAGTATCCACAATGCCTCTTTTTAAATCATTTTGAATCAAAAAACCATTCAAACGTTCATACCATGCTCTCTTGTTTTAATCCATACAAAATTTTTGAGAGTTTAAATACATGATTTGGATAAATTTCATTTTGAAAACCAGGATGTTGATCAACATATACTTCATGATCTATAAATCCATTTAAGAAAGTATTTTTAACATCCATTTGAAATAATTTAAATTTCTTGAAACATGGAAAGGCCAAAAACATTCTAATTGATTCCAGCCTAGTTACGGGTGCAAATGATTTATCAAAATCAATTCCTTCTTCTTGAGTATATCCCTTGACTATAAGTCTGGCCTTATTTCTTACTACCTCACCTTTGTCATTCATTTTGTTTCTAAAAATCTACTTTGTGCCAATGATAGGATGATCTTGTGGTCTAACAACTAATGTCCACACCTTGTTTCTTTCAAATTGATTTAACTTCTCTTCCATAACTAAAATCCAATTCTCATCTTTCAATGCATCAACAACATTTTTGGGTTCAAAGTATGAAATTAATGCAAAATTATCCATCAGTTGTTTAGAAGAGGAACGAGTTCTGACCTTCTCGGATGGATCAGCAATGATGATCTCCTTAGGGTGGTTTGAACAAATTTTCAAACTCTTGGAAGATCGTTAGGTGTACTAGTGTCTCTGTCATTGTCTTCCCTTGCTGGACTGTCTTGAGTTTCATCTTCCTTTGAATCATTTTCTGGTAAAGCAATACCTTGGTCAGTAATTGTGAGTTTCTTTAGTTCTTCTTGAATACCTACATCCATAGTTATTAAACTCGGCCCGGAGAGGTGACCGACAAAGGAGGTGGGTCAACGGGTCATTGGTTCAACCAGTGGGTGAGTCGTTGAACCAGTGGATCACTAAATATATTTAAATATTATATCTTATAAATTTTGATATAGGATATATGATATAAATTGTAATAAACAATGTCATAATAAATGTTTATTTAATTTAATCTGCTATAGAATATTTAATTCATATAAGAATCAGCAAAACATAAATTTAATTAATAATCCACTAAAATTCAAGTATAAAATTTTATATATTACTATAATTATCTAGGTTATTTACGAATTTTAAGTGCAAAAAATTATTAATAACAATATTTGTCTTTAAAATAAATTATGTAATATGTTATTTTTGAAATCTATTTTATAATTTATAGAATATTGGGGTCATAAATTTTTATTAAAAGATTCCAAATAAATTTGTTTTGGAGAAATAAAAAAATAAAGATAAAATCAACAAAACATTCATATAGTGTAAGAATGACCATTATTCAACAAGTGACAAAGTGGTCTGGCGGTGAGCTTTCTCATATACTTATCCAATGGTCGAGGGGTTGAATCCAAGCAAAACCTTTGGAAGACTATTTTTCCTCGAACTCGATTTGCCCACAAAACCGACTGGGTTTCCAATTTAATCCGGTTGAACCACCAATCCGTTGAAAAGTCAACGGTTCCCCTGCAGAAACGATCTAATTAGCGAACCGGCCCGGTTTAATGGCCGGTTCACCGGGTTGACCGATCGAACCGCTGGGCCGGGTTTAATAACTATGCCTGCATCATCATCTTCACCACTACTTATGAAAATGTCACCATTAGATTTGTCAAAAGTGATATAGATAGTTTCCTCTATAACCAAAGTCCTTCGATTATAGACTCTAAAGTCTCTCTTATTCTCACAATATCCCAAGAAAATTTTCTCATCAGATTTTTTATCAAACTTTCCGAGATGTTCTTTGATGTTTAAAATGAAGCATTTGCAACCAAAGACTTTAAAGTATCCAACAACAGGCTTTTTATCAAACATCAGCTCATAGGAGGTTTTTTTCAAGATTGGTCTTAAAAAAACTCTATTCATGGTATAGCAAGCTGTATTTATAGTTTCAGCCAAATTACATTCACTTAGCATGGTTCTAGCAGCCTCTTGAAGAGTTCTATTTTTTCTTTCAACAACCCCATTTTGTTGGGAAACTCTTGTAATTGAAAATTCATGTGTAATACTATTGTTGTTACAAAATTCTAGAAAGCCACGAAAACGAAATTCTGAGCCATTGTCACTTCTGATTTTGATGTTTTCAATCCAATCAGATTCTGAACTTTTGCAAATGGTGAAACAAAGTTTTTGAAAGCATCATCTTTGTGTGCAAGAAACATCATCCAAGTGTATCTAAAATAATCATCAACAACAACAAAACAAAATCTTTTGCCACCTAAGTTGGTAATTTGTGTAGGATCAAATAAATCAAGATGTAAAAGTTATAGAAGTTTTGTAGTAGAAACACATTTCTTGAGTTTAATAGACACTTTGACTTGTTTTCCAAATTGGCAAGCATAACAAATTCTGTCCTTTTCAAATTTGATCTTTGACAGCCCTCTAACAAGTTCCTTTTTAAAAATTTCTTTTAGCAGATCCATATTGAAGTGACAAAGTCTTCTATGCCACAATCAAGGGTCCTCATTTGCTACTTTGAGACAACTAAGGCTAGAAGAATCAACTTTTTCAAGGATAACTACATAAATGTAATTAACTTTTTTTTTTTTTTAAAAACAGTGTTGAACTTTGAGTCAAGAGCAAGGCATTCATGCTTTTTAAATAATACAAACAGATTTCTATCATACAATTGACTAACACTTAATAAGTTATAGTTCAAATTATCAACTAAAAGAATATTGTGAACAAAGGTTTGACCATTCTTATCAATATCACCGATTCCAACAGTTTTGGCTTTGTTATCATCTCCAAATGTTACCTTTCCGCTTGCTTTTGGCTTGAGTTTGATGAACTGTGATGGATCACTAGTCATATGTCTTGAGCATCTACTATCTATGAACCACTTTGATTCCTTAACAATGTTCACCAGGTTTACCTACACAAAAGTCCACAAGATAATATTTGGTACCATTTATTTTTTGGGTTTTTGAGAGTTAGTAGTATGTCTAACCATTCACATACATCTCATGCCATTTCTCATATTTTTTCTAACATAACAATTGCTTTTTATGTGGCCAAATTGACAACAGAAGCTGCACATAGTCAATGAATTATTCAAATGAACAGGTTTAATAAATCTGATTTACCTTTTTCTATAGATAGTAAACTCATTTGTACAATGATTCAACCTTTTTTGATGAGTACCAAAATGAGATTTTGTATCATTATTTTGAAAACAGTTTTGTTTCTTATGTTGAAACATCTGATTAAGATCATCCATTCTTCTTTTCAAGCTACTTTATTCATTTTTTAGCATGTCACAGAAGTTTGTCTTTCTATCAAGTTCAGCATGCAAATCATATTTAATCTTTTTCAGGTTCTCAGACATTTGTTTTGTCGAAAAAGGTTTGAATTGTCTTGAATCAGAAAGTTAATTTTCTGTTTTAGTTCCTTGTTTCTAACATAAGATTCTTTCAAACTGTTATACATTCTTTTCATAAAAGAGTTGACATCATCATCAGCTTCGTTA